CTCTCTCTCTCTCTCTCTCTCTCTCTCTCTCTTGTGTGCGCGCGCGCCCCCTTGTGCAACCTCCTCCCCCTATCGCGACATCCTCGTCCTCCCTCACGGCCCCCTCCCGCTCGTACGAAATCCTCCCCCTAGCACGACCTCCTCCTTCCCCTGCCGCATGACCTCTGCAACCTCTCGTCCCCAACGTGCGATCTGCTCCTACCCCTCCCATGACCCACTCCTCCCCTTTGCACTGCGTCCTCCTCCCCCTTGCGCGACCTTCTCACACCTCTCTTCCGACCTCATCCAGCTCCTCCTCCTCCTTACACCACCTCCTCCTCTCGCTCATGTGTCCTCGTCCGGCCTCCTCAAACCACTCGCGCGACCTCCTCGAACCTCCCTTCCGACCTCCGCTGCAACCTCTCGTCCACCTCGTGCGACCTGCTCCTCCCCCTCTTCCGACCTCCTCCTCTTCCTTGTGCCACCTCCTCTTCCCCCTTGTGCAACCTCTTGCTTGTTATTGTGCGAACTGCTCCTCCCCCTCCCACTCCGTCTTCCGATCTCCTCCTCCCCCTTACGCAACCTCCGCGCGACCTCCTCCTCTCCCTTGTGCGACCTCTTCCTACCCCTCGTGCGACCCCCTCCTCCCCCCGTGCGACTTCCTCCCTCTCTTCCGACCCTCCTTCCCTCGTGCGACCTCCTAATCCTTGTGCGACCTCCTCCTCCCCCTCACGCGTCCTCTTCCCCCTCCTCATCCACCTCGCACGACCTCCTCCCACCTCTATTCCGACCTCCTCCCCCTTGTGCGACGTCCGCTTCCCCTCGCACAACCTCCTCCTTGTGCGACCTCCTCCTCCCCCTCGTGCCACCTCCTCCAATCTGTCTTCCTACCTCCTCCACCTTGTGCGATCTCGTCCTTCCCCTCTTCTGACCTCCTCGTCCCGCTTGCACAACCTCCTCCTGCCGCTTGCACAACCTCCTCCTCCCACTCTCCGACGGCGACCGAATAGTAGCATGCGAAAAACCACCCAAAAGGCGGGGATTAAAAAAAAAGAAAAAAGAAGCGACTCCTCCTCGTGCGACCTGCTCCTCCCCCTCTTCCGACCTCCTACTCTCCCTTGTGCCACCTCCTCCCACTGCTCCTCCTCCTCCTCCTCCTCTCCCTCCTGCTCCTCCGCCGCCAAACAACGTGACAAAGATCCCGCCATAGCCCCGCTCCCGCTCGTTCTCCTGCTGCTCCCGCCTCTCCTCCTCCCTCTCCTTCTCCCGCTCTCCCTCCTGCTCCTTCTCCTTCTCCCGCTGCCCCCCTGCTCTTTCCCCTGTTCCTCCTGCTCCTTCTCCCGCTCGTCCTCGTGCTCCGCCCGCTTCTCCTGGTCCACCTATATCTCCTCCCCCTCCTCGGCCTCCCGAAGGTTCGTTAACCCCCTCCCAGTTTCCCCTCCCACTCCTTCTACCGCCCCTCCTGCCGCGCCTCCTCCGCCCCTTCCCATTTTTCCTCGTGCTCCTTCTCCCGCTCCTAACCCCCTCCCCGTTTCCCCTGCCGCTCCTCCTTCACCAGCTCCTCCTCCCGCGGCTCCTCTTCCCCTTCGCATTTCCCGTCCCGCTCTTTCTCCCGCACCTGCTCCCGTTCCTCCCACTCCTTTTCCCGCTCCTTTTCCCATCCCTCCTCCCGCTCCTCCCGCTCCTCCCGCTCCTCCCGCTCCTCGTCTTGCTCCTCCTCCCGCTCCTCCGCCAAACAACGGGACAAAGATCCCGCCATAGCCATCTCCAATGAAAAAACAAAAGAAAATAGCCCCCCACGTGGCTAGCCGAGAGAGAGAGAGAGAGAGAGAGAGAGA